CATTGTAAAAATATAGCAAAGAACATTCAATTATTTGTAATGAAAAGTTGAAGGCAAATCAAGTAAAATTTTAAAGTTTGTTCTTTTTTAATAGAAATTGATTTTTTAGAAGCCAGTTGTTGATAAATATGTTATAAGAACGGGCTAGAGTTTCGAAAAAGTTGCAGCTAAACAGAAAATTGAATAGACAATCAAGCTTGCAAATATAACAAATATTAGATTGACAGCTCTTAAAAATTCATTCGGGCCGATAAATTCAATTGAAATTGTAAGAATACAAAGCAAAAACAAAGCAATCCATTTTAAATCGTCCTAATAACTTTTTCAGACGCTTTTTTGTAATAAAAGTTGTCGGTTGCTACGCAAGAAGCACATACATCTCCTGAAAACCCCTTTTTTTCTTCAAAACTTTGCCATTTGTCGAGTTCGGTACAATGAAAACAACCAGAAACGAATCGAAACAAAGCTACAAAGCTATATACAAAGCTATATTTTTTAATCACAAAAAAAAGTAAAAAGGGGAAAAAATGAAGAAAAAAAATGTTTACAGTTTTTTTAGACATTTGAATAGTTTTTGCAGATTTCGTATGAACTATTCAACCAAATATTTTTTTCCAAAAAAACTCAATGAAGCTTCCATAACAAGTTTTTTTTTGGATTAAAAATAAATTTATTGCTCGGGTTACTAAACAGCAAAAACATCAAATCAGTTTTTCTAGACATTTAAACAATTTTTTGAACATTTAAATTTAATTCACTTTTCTTTAACATTTTCGATAAATTTTCCCTACCATTTTCAATAGTCGCATCTAGTATTTTATCAGTCGCACGTATAAGTCGCACGTAGTATTTTATTTCCATATTAGTTTTTTGTTTTTCGACAATTAACAGACAGTTTTCCGTCTGAAAAGTTGGAGCTGGAGTTTTTATTGAGTGTTTTAAAGGGTTTAAGGGTTTGCATCGTACGGGAATGTGTTGTACGGTAAAATATGAACAATTGTTATAATTTGAATTGAAAAAAGCAAAAAGGAAGATTAGCCCCCCCCCCCCCCAACCCACGACGTAACCCCCTTAGTTAGGGGTCAATTAACTGTAGTTCGGGTAAGCGTGGGGGGGGAGTAGGTGTGGGATCTATAGGTTACTTTATGTAATTTTTCATAAACACGATTGAAAATAGGAAAAAAATAAATTAAGCGAGAGAACAAAATAACTAACTTAGGTTTAACAAAACTATGAAAAATGAAAACAACACACGAAAAGATCTGAATAAAAAGATTATAATCCATTATTATCGATTAAAATGGATTATTTTTTTTGATACATTTTTTTGAAAATAATCGATTATAATCGATTATACTGGGAATTTATTGCTTGAAAAATATTATCATAATAATCCCTTTTCAATCGATTATAATCGATTATTTTTGTTATTTTATAGAGACTGACAATGAAAATCTAATATAATCGATTACTATCCATGAAACTTCAGTGCGGGGAGGAGACGAAAACTCAAGCTGCACACCACGAATTTCCAGTAACAGGCGGCAGCATTACATCAGTGAGCGATGACGCAGTACACTTCCTCTTGAAGACATCTTCGGACTTGGAGCAACAATCATACGTCTACCTTGGGAGCTCATCATCGCCCAGAGTTGTGTCGAAGATAAGGAAAGAGCTAGCCAAAAGAATACACCAAGAACAAGTAATGTGGTATTTGTTGACGATGTGGCATGCAAATCGAGGAAGATATAGAGACAAGTGGAGAGACTAAAACAGAGCATGGAAGGTCATGGCAAAATTCAAATAGTTAACAAGTTAGACGGACAGACATGGAACTACAAAACGCATCTGAGGTAGACACTTCAGGAGACTATGATGGGACGACTGCCGAGGACTCGACGGAAGAAACAGGTTGAGTATCTCAAAAACAAACGTGTAAAGGTGAAATGACGAAAAGCCAACGGACAAGACTAGAGTGTCAGCATGATACTGGTCAAAATATTTGAAATCACCGACCAAAGAAACGGGTCTGGGGATAGAAAGAAACTGAGATTTGGTGGGGGAAAAAGCGGAAACGATTTGGTTGGGAATGAGTCAGGTGGGACCCATTCATGAGGAGACGAGATCGGACCAGGTAGATGTCAGTGATATTTCGGTTGTTTATTCGATAGTATCTGGTTGATTATGCTATTAAACTGCAAAAAATTGGACTGGAATGATAGTGAGGAGCGCTAACTTGTTCTTGAATAGCAACTTTATATAAAAGGAACCACGCGTGAGAGCAAGAAGCTACATAATCCAACTACATAATGCAACTGATTCATTGGGCAACATATTCGCCGAATCGGCTTTGATAGGCGACGATAAAGTTGGAGCTGACGATAAAAAGCACGGGGTGAAAACAGCGCAGCCAGTGGAGTGGAACTCACCAAATGAAAAAAAATGAAAGTAATCGATTGATAGGAGAAAATGTGCACCACATGGCCATAAAAAACCCTTAAGGCTCAAAACAAAAGGAAAGATAAAACCAAAGGTCAAAAGGACAGCTAGAAGAAGATAACGAGTAAGATAAGATACTCGAAAAGAATCAGAGGAGTTCGGAATTTTTTGAGCTTGCCCTGAAATTAATTATGTGAATGACTTCATACTTTTTTAACGTTTCTAAATGCAACTTTAAAGGGATTGTTGATATTCGCCGATGTAAGGCAAGACTGATAGTTTTATGTTGATACCCAAATGTTTTAGCTTTTGAAAATTAATTCGAGTTTAAATTTAATTGAACACAGTTTTAATGAAATACTTTGTTATGATAAGTAAGTTAAGTTCAATTTTTTTTTCTGAAAATTTAAACTGCTATTTTTTGGCAATAGTCTGCATTAGATGTGGTTGTTGTTGTTGCTGTTACTATTGTTGTTCTTAATATTGTTGCTGCTGTTGTTGTTGTTGCTGCTGTAGTTGTTGTTGTTGTTGCTGTTGTTGTTGTTGTTGTTATTGTTGTTGGTTTTTTGTTGTTGTTGTTATTGTTGTTGTTGCTGTTGTTGTTGTTGTTGTTGTTGTTGTTGTTGTTGTTGTTGTTGTTGTTGTTGTTGTTCTTATTGTTGTTGTTGTTGTTCTTGTCGTTGCTGATGATATTGCTGTTATTATAATTGCTGTTGTTGTTGGTGGTGTTGTTGTGAATTTTCAGCGCGTGTTGATTGGCTTCAGATCTCTTCTTCTGCAAAAATTTTGTTGAGTGATTCCTACACACGTTGCTGTCACAGGGTAAGAACTTCATCAATGTTAGAAGAGGTCATTTTTTAGTCCAGCACTTTCAAAGAAATTTAAATTTTGATATTGTCAATTGACCCATTGACAGCTCTTAAAAATGAATTCACCGCAAGCATTTCCATCTCGAGCAGAATCAGGTTAAAATCCAGTAACCGAATTGAAAAATTTTAATCGAACTTTTCAAACTTTCCTAAATCAGTTTTCATGAGCACAATGTTTTAGATTGTCGTTCTCACACTTTGCTCTCTCTCTCTCTCTTGGTTGAATGAAGCTCATTTGCTATAATTGATTAGTTACAAGGAGCAAAATTTATCACTTTGTAGGTTATATGGCGTGTGGGGGGATTATTTTTGCAAATCTCAAAATAAAAAAAATCTTTGATTTTTTTACAACTTTTTGATGATTTTACTGCTCCATAGACCTTAAAAGGGAGTCAGTCGAAACATTTAGGACTTCGATCTGATGCGAATAATCTTGCTTATCTTCTACTTTATTATGATTATTACCACACATTTTTGCAAGCGCATGCAATTTCTAGACTCTGAATGCTGAAAGTAGAATATGGCCGTTCAATAAATATATGCGTAATTTGGACCGGTGAAAAAATTTTGCGTGGTTTTATAAAATTACGTTAGGCTTGTTACACCAAGCCATGTGATTATGATGTCATTTTGATCAGGTGATACTTGTTCACGAAACTAACATTTTTGGCAAACTATTGCTGACGAAAATCACCATATTACTATTGTTGTTACTAGCCCTCAAAAAATCTGGTTTCGTTTTGTACAAGTCGTGCTCCGATGCAAAAACTTCATTTGAATTATGTGTTTGCGCTGCTCAGAAGTGATTCTACGTAGCACAGAAACCGTCTGCAACTAGCATTTTAACTATCGTCAGTTTACCTTCAAATTCAGAATTTATTTTGTATTTTGAAAACTTACCGAGAACATCGATATGACAGCTCAGACACAATTGTCTCCTACTTTTTTTGTTGAAAAATTAATTTCTGATACGGAAAAAAATCAAATCAATCCTGTCAGGCAATATTTTTCCAGACAATCAGGGAAAATAGTTGTTCTTGGCGCAGTTGAACCACTCAAAAACTACATCAGTAAAATTGAAAGATGTTTGTCAAATATCCAAGCTCAATTAGAGCCTTTATCAAAAGATACACCGAAGCATCTTATATACGATCAATACATCGAATGCGCTGAGTCAGTTCATGAACTACTTTACGATTCAGGAATAGTGGAATTTTTGAATCTGGGCGAGAGCGCAGCAGACCTGTCTCAAGATATTCCGGCATACATCTTCGAAAACCCGAACACTTCCGAAGACCCAGATGAGTTTGTAAAAAAGATAATACAAGAGAGACGTGGAGGTACTGTTCAATCAGTAAAAATTGGTGACCTTAGAGACGAGGTCATCAAATCGTTCACTAGCTGTGAGAGAAAAAGCAAAGAAGTTGCGACAAATGCGTCTAGTGGCGTGGGAGCAGTAGTCGGAGGCGGGATCCTTGCAGGAGCTATGGTTGCTACGGGCCCAATCGGTTGGTTGGTTGGTGCAGGCATTGCAGTTGGCTGCGGGGTTGCAGCTAAAAAAGGCTCCAAGATCGTCGCTGATGATATAACATCAAATTGGTATCAAAGTCTAATACAGTCTTTCAGAGACTTTCTGGAGAAACCGCAGAAAAATTCGATCACTTTGCGTGTAGCTCTTTTCAAAAAAGACACCCACGAGCATGTGAAGGAAATAAAAACCGATATTCTGAGCTGGGTAACGAAGACAAAAGACAAGCTAAATTTCGCCAAAAATTATGAACTCCACATTGATATACTAGCTCTACAGTTGGAACAGTTGTGGAGTTTGGCTAAAGCTGTTTTGACCCAAAAACCAGAGAGTATTCAGGAGCATAGCTTGCAATTTCAAATGCTGAAAGATGCAACGGAGAGGTTAAAGCCTAATGCTCAGCTGGTTATGTCAGTAGGTTACAACACACAAAACGGCCAGAAAGTACAGGTGATGAAATGGTGCCGAGTTATAGATCTTATAAATAAAACAACAGGCCGCTGGACCAACTCAAACGCCACATCGAATGACTTTTCTGAAGTTGTGAAAGAATATCTTGGCAAATACAATGAGCTGCAGAAACAAGATATTGGTGGTATTTTCATAGGAGATTTCACTTTGAAGCAGCTTCGTTCAAATGTGCTGAATGAAAAGTTTAACAAATATTACCCAATCGACAGTGAACAAGCGTCAATTGCGGGAAATTTTGAGCTGGCTAAATGGACAGGAGCTCTAGATGACGAATATGGCAGAGGTGGAAAGCCATATTACTGTCCAAACGGTTGGCATCGAATCTCATTGAATGTAGCACGTGACAGAGCAGAGTTTGACAGAAAATACGCAGACTGGCCCATCGCCTATCACGGAACTGAAGGAAAACTTGCACTCGATATTCTTGTGAGTGGTTTGCGGTCAGGAGAAGGTGTGTTATTCCATGAAAATAAGTGGAAATGGCAGAAAGGTCTAGTTTACCTTTCTCCCTCAATCATCTACACTGCTCACCCACGGTAAATATAAGAATTACCTGATCTGAACTTTGAAATTTTAAGACATTGAAATTAACTCTTTTAGAAAGAAAACATATATAACGAAAAGTAGCCGGTAGATGGCAACAAAATTATTGTTGCTTACTTGATCATTTAATTTTTTTCCTTTCTGGTATGATATGAAATCTGGTATACTTTAGTTTTATTACAATGATGAAACGTTCGAGTTAGACTTTGCTGTGTTTATTTCTCCGCTTTTAGCATTTGAAAATCAAAATTTGAAGCTGAAAATCAAAATTTGATAACCTCTAGGCTCCTACAATAATTTTCAAATTACTAAATAAGGGAGGGTATTGATGTAAAGTAATAAACATGCTCGATTTTAGTCAGTATTTTCATTCACTATTTTTTCAGCTACGCTCGGCTATTTAAGCTACCAGATGGCCGAATAGGGCAATTAGTTCTGCAAGTCAGAGTTAATCCAAAGGTGATATCAACCGTGCAAGCTGAAACTCTTTTAAAAGAGGAAAAGAAAAACTCAGTTAAAGTTGATCCAAATTTCGCTAATTCGGAACTCGAATATGTTCTGAGCCCCCAGGACGAGAATGGAAAGTTCTTGGGAATGAGAGAAGGGGTAATAATCTACGGACTGATGGTACGAGTTAGTGACATGCAACCGATTGAGCTGGATGAATCGAAATGGTGGAATGATTGTGAAGATGTTGGCGTCAACCTGAAATGCTGAGTCTCAATTCAAAACTGAGTTCATAACTTCGGACTAACTGTAACAATGTAGTACTAACTAAGTTTTGAATTTTTGTTACCGATTTATTATTTAGTCTCCTATTTTTTTGAAAAAAAATTACGTTTCATGAATTTATTTGGACAAAAACTACCCATATGTAAATGAAAACTCTTATCGAGCTGTATTTAATCTTTTTGGAACCCATATTCATAAATCTTTCCTGTTTTCACTTTCTGCAAATTTCAATTTTAAAACTGTGTGTTTGGCGCTGTAAATATAAACAAATATTGTAAATGTTCTTTTGAAATTCTTCTATTTTTGATGTAAAATAACACAGAGCTTTTTCAAATTTACTTACACATAGTCGGATTTACTCTAACTGCAAATTAAGAGACAGTCATTTTAAGGCCAACTGTAAGCTGGTTAGGCTCCCAACTTGTTGTCTGTAAGTCACTGAAGTCCAAAGACAAGACTTTAATCATGTTTCAAAATTTCCATAAAACCCGCGTACAAATACGGCTAATGTAAATTTTATCGGCTCATTAGATTTGTTGCGGATTAGGAAAACAGCAAATATAGCTTGTTGTTCCAAATTGCTGTGTTTGTGACTATCGGAAACGCACCGAATAAGCTAAATCAAAGTGTAAGAACAGCGTTAAAAATTGAAATTTCACTATGCTTTGATGGTGTAGTGTACTGCAGGTAAAATCGTTTATGCATATTCAGCATTATTGTGTAATTATTCCTTTAACCCGATGACCTGAAACAGCAAAACAGATTATCTATTCAAATTAATTTGCAAGTTTCTTATTCCGTAGTTTCAAATAAAGTTCGCATTAAAACTTCGGGCTTAATCTGAAACTTTATCTGAAAAAAAAATGGCTAAAATGAAAAGATTGTTTGATTATTTTTAGTTTAATTATTATTCAGCAGGCTTAATGAATGACGAATTAGTTTACTTCCATTTGTTCTGTATCTGTCCATTCCCAAGAACTTTAGTTAATTCCGTATCGGTGTTTGAAATGATCGGAAAGGAACGGTGGCTTCAGCTAGTGACTTCAAAACGTTGACGGGAAATAGGTTCGAATGTAAAACAGATATTGAGGTTGAAATCGCTGGTGAGCCACAGCTTCTGTGAGAAACGGATTTAATGTGAAGATGTAACTACATAAGTTGCTGGAATCTGCATTCGAATTTTAGATTCCGGTTACAAAATTCAGATTCCGTTTGATGGATTCTGCAAACAAAATTCATATTCTGGTTAAAATAGGCAAACTCCGCTACTACGTTGGATGGATTCCGCAACAAGGCAAATTTTCCATACTCATAGGCTATTATTTGTTTGTCTATTGCACAAACTGATCCGGGTTCTGCTAATTTTGTCGCGGATTCAGCAAAATCACGTTATGGAGCAGTTTTGAGTTATATAGTGCTTTAGCTGTTTATGGATTCTGTATCAGCGTTTTGCGACAAAATTGATTTCGACAAGTTGCAGAATTCGCATTCAAATCACAAAATTCACAGTTTGTGATGATTTTTAAAGGTCAAAGAAGAGGCATTATAATCCATGCTACAAAATCGACATTCAAAAAAGTCTAAGAAAGTCAAGTGAAAGTCTCTCATGATATGTTTTTGAGTGTTTAATTGGTCCGACATGTGGACAATTAATATAGTTGTTTCATAATGCCTGTTTGTCGCTCTATCTTCTGTCGACTGGATAGTTCTTTGCATTTAGTAGTCAACTACTTGTCCTATTTTTGCTCCTAATTTCTAGGTGTCAATAGATCATACAAGTAATGTAAAAGTTGTTTTTACATAATGATTTTTCTTTTTAAAATATGTTTAAAATTATAAACGTCATAGTTAATTTCAAAATTTTCCTGTTTTGATTTTCTGTTTACAGTGATTGTTCAGTGGACATTGTTTGACCCGACTGGCTAGGACTACAAGGGCTGAATTTCACGGCTTTTCTCTGAGAGATTTTTTTTTTTTTTGAAAAAAACTTGGATTAGGCTATCTTGATTTAAATAGATCCTACATGAATGGGCGAGGAGATTGAGCGTTGCTCTTCTGATTATTGACGTTGGGATCATTTGTCTCCTATATGAAAATGTCTGTAGAATCGGTAATTCTAGCAAATTTTCGACTTACCGACCGTGTATTTTATCCTAAAACGATAGGGAAAATATTAGTAAATTTGGTTCAAAATCGGGTTATGGTTAGTTTATTGGGATCGTATGACTTTGTTGCTTGGGTCAAGATTTAACACCGAAGTCAGTTGGTATTTAAGTAAGTAGCGAAGGGGGATTTAACTGCTAAGAATCATACGACTTTGGTTACTTACCCGATTTACGATGCCAACCGCAGGGGGATGTATTTACGAAACGTGAACAAGTCGATAAAAACCCCGGACTTGGGACCCGTCAGCTTTGACAGGGGGAGTAGGTAAAAGGGAAAACCATAGGGGGCGGTTGTGCTTAAGGGGATGACAGCACCGATATGAAGTGGCGTGACTTTAACAAAAACGGAGCACAAATAGAGATAAGAAGGGGAGGTTAGAGAGCGGATTTTAAGTAGAACGAGTTAACGAACGTCAGATTCAGTAGGTCGCAGTTGTGGTCGCCATCTGAACTCATCAGTTAATTGTTTCACAGCGAGTGAAGTAAGAACGCAAGTCGAAGTGCCTTGTGGAATATTAGTTAGAGCAGAAGCTAGCTTAAGTCAGAGAGCTTAGTCGACACGTGTACTGACCGAGTACGCTGAAGAAATTGTTAAGCGTGTACAGATCGCAAACCATTCTGTTGTATATTATTAAATTATACGCTGGCCGAACTAGTAGGCCCTTTGTATTCATTCAGACTTATATAAATTGAATTCATTTGAGAGAAAGGAATTCGTTATACGCGACTTCAAGCGAGATATAGCGAGCAAGAGCATCACTAACCAAGGGGGAGCAATAGAATACAGTAGAGGACAACTCACCACTAAAATAACCCTTTCGAGATTGTCGTTAATACCGAGCCCTAGTGCCCCCTGCTTTAGCACGGTAAAAGGGATAGCTTCGCAAGACCGTGTGTGGAAATCCTATAGACGACATTGGCGCTCCTGGGTGGGCTTTATCCTAGACTGAAGTTGCAAACGAACGAACAACCATCCCGTGAGCAAACACGATGATGAACGACAACGATAGAGCTGCATTGGCAGAGGCTGCTGTGGCGGCAGCGAACGCTTTGGACAGGCAGCAGGAAGTCTTTGGCTTTGGCACCATTCGCCCCGATCGGTTTCCCTCCAGTAGCTATCAAAACTGGGCCGACTGGAGGAAGCATTTCGCCTGGGTTGCGGATGCTAACAGATGGGAAGATGAACAGGCTCGTATGGGCTCTGGATGAATTTACCAGCATGCCAGCCCACTTCAGAGAGGAGGAAGACGGTTTCCCAGCGCCAACACTTGCACGGATGCTGGCCAAACTAGACCAGCGTATGATGCCCTTCCAAACTCATGCAGCGGCTAGGGCGGAGTTCAAAAGTCTGATGCAAGGAGACAAGGAGGGTTTGAGGGAATTCTCTCGGCGAATCCGATCACTTGGAGATGTTGCTAATGGAAATGTGGGAGCTCAAGCTCGAGACGATATGAACCGAGAACAGTTCATAGACGGGCTATTTGACGTGGACCTTCAAGACCTACTTCTGCGAGAAGATCTTGGAAGCCTAGCGCAAGCAGTTGCCCGTGCCCACGCCTTGGATCTTGTGAATAAAACATCCAGGGCCCGGAACCGGAGAAAGATGCACCTTGCGAGGGTTGCTGAAAATGTCCCAGAGCCAGGTGCTGAAGCTGGTCGGAGTGTAGGCGGACAGATCCCTCGAAACCAACCAGTGGGAGCTAGTCAGGGACGTCAGCAGGCGAGCAATGACCCCCGCATCGACTAACTGGTGAGTGTTGAGGACAGACGAGCTCAATGCCAGACTAGTGAAATACCAGACCAAACTCAAGGTCAGACTTGAGCAATAGAAACCTAATTAAAGGTCAACTGGTATAAAACTCAATGCACTCAGACAAGGTCAACTGGTCTGCTGGTATTTGATAAACTAATTAATTAACTGGTAATTAATTAACTGGTACTATTTGATGCTCAGTTTGTCGTGTCATTTTATAAACACAATCTCAATTCATTCTTCAACAATCAGTATCTCTTCTCTCTCCTCAGTTGAAACCTCAGATAACTCTCAAACCTCTATCCCCTAGTCCTACTTGCTCTAACTCTGAATCTTAACAGGTTATGGGCCCAGATTTCTAAACTTTTTGATTTAATAATTATTTGATTTCTGTCAGAGTTTTTTTTAGCTTTTATCTAGCCTTTAGCAAAGCAGAGATGGACTTGAAACTGGCTGGATTCAGTGGAAAGTCTGAAGATTTTCCAGCTTGGTCGACGAAGTTTGTGGCACTGATGCATACCAAAGGCCTGTTCAGGACTGTGATGGGCAATGACGATCTACCAGAAGCTGAACCTACGCTACCTGAGAATCCGAATGCTGACCAGATGACGGCGTACAACACCAAGATGCAGGAGCGAGCTGTGCTGATCCAGCAGAGGAAAGACAACCGAAACACAGTGTGGTCACATCTAGCTCTGGTCCTGAACAACACCACACTGATGTACATCAAGAACGACTGCGTGGCTGCGGATGGCTATGGCGATGGGACGAAGGCCTGGAGACTGCTGCAAGAGAAGTTTTGCAGTGTGGAGAGGCCTACAGTGGTCAGTCTAGTAGGCCATCTTGCGAAGCTGCGCCTAGGATCAGAGGAGGATCTCGATGACTACTTCGTTCGAAGTCAAGAGCTGATGACGCGGCTGAGTGAAGCTGGGGAAGCAATTACGGACACACTCTTCAATGCGCTCGTGATCAACGGACTGCCTGACAGCTTTGAGCATTTCGTGGTGCAGGAGAGCTTCCAGCCGGCCAAGACTTTTACAGAGCTGAGAACGAGGTTGAGGAACTATGATGACTCGAGACGAGCTCGATGTGGAGAGAAGACTGGGAATGGACACATAGCTATGCAAGCTGTGAGGAAGAAGAAAGGAGCGTCGGGTGGTGGC